TTTTGACTTGAATCAACAACATCAGAAGTGGCGCAAAATCGCAGCAACAGCAACAGCAACAGCAACAGCAGTGTGTCATGGAGGTGAGACTCTTTCTGTCTGGAATGGTGTATAATTACGAAAGTGGCAGTGCATTCGACTCTGAAAATCTCAGGTGGAGATTCATTTATGCTCTTGTTTTGGAAGCGGAGACGAAGCCGCGCCGTTCCATATTGATGTTTGTTTTGGGAGCCATCATTCTAATCCAGGTCTGGGGCAGGCTTTGTAGAAAAACACCTCCACATGTTCTCCCCAGAGACTCTAACAAAGAGCACTTCTTCATCTTGTCACCTCTCAGTACGTTCTGAAGCAAACTTGAGATGCGCAATGGACAGACACGACTTCCCATCAGGCTTTAATCATTAAAGGAATCATTACTGGTTCATGTTGAATGTGCAGGCAGAGGGTGGCATTTAATGTACAGATACATGTTATTCCTCTTGGCAGAGATGATTAAAACTGTTTGAAAGTTTGATGAAATATCAAACAGAGATAAAAGGTACCAGTGTTGATATTGACGATGCTGGCCCTGCATTAGCTTGGTCTCTTATCAAAACACCTTGACTGTCCTGTTCTATAAAGTCAGGAACTCCATGCAGTAGCCACTTCCCCGACATAAAGAGTTTATATATTGGTTTCATTTGGTGTCCACCAGTCTAACAGATTCTAACAATTGAATATGAATAAATATCAATAGTTGGTCAGATCTGTGTCACATTATTTCAACCACATCCAGCATAAGTTTCTTGTGTTTATGGTGACACTACTGTATAGAGGACAAGTAACTGGTGGATGTTTTCTGGAGGGAAATCAAGGTTGATTCCTATATGTCACTTAAAAATGTGTTTAAATTGGTTAGATGTGTTTCAGTTTGATTTGGTGATTAAACAAAAACCATCTCCCAGAATTGCACAGCTGGTTTTGTAATTGTTTATTAAAAAAAAAAAAAAAAACTCCTGTTGAGGTACTATATGTTCAGTACAGCAAGATTCCAGTTCATGTTAATTTACTCACAGTCCGATTTAGTCAAACCATGTCTGATCACTGTAACTTTTAAGAGCCCCTGTTGTTGGAATCTGTGAAATATTAACGCCTATTAATGCGTCTGTTTATTCAAATTCAGTTCTCTCTAATACACAACAGTTGGTATCAAGTAATGCCAAATTACAAAAAATTCATTTGTTTTAATATGATGATAAAATGTGCAGCTTGCTTGTCTGATGGATATCCACTTCACTTCAAAAGACCTGGACACTTCATTTATGGTTGAAACTTTGATTCCGTTTTGCTTATTAGGTTTTGTTAAAACACCACAGACTCAGCTCCTCACAAGCTAATGCTAGTGAGCTAATTAGCTTGGTAGCTATCAGCTCGTTGGTTAGAGAGAGGAACTACTGTGAGTTTGTATGCAAATTAAACAACTACTGGAACTTCATAGATATGTTTTTTTTATTATTATTTACACATTCAGTTAGCCCACAACATTTTAAGAATCAGGCTTGGTTTGCCCATTCGATCAATGCAAACAGATGTTTTCACATCTGAATATTATGAAACAGCATTTATATAATTAAGTGAAAGACAAAGTGATCCATCAAACACAGTAACTGCTATAGCTGGCTGCTAAATTTGGTTTCAAACCAGCTGCATGTGTTCTTCATTACTGGACAAATGGAAAAAAAAAAAGAAGAAAAACGTGGACTCCATTTTTTGTTTTTGAAGAACATAGAGAGGAGTTCTCAGATGTTAACTGTCCTACACAACTGACTCAGAATACAGCAACAAAGGAGCCGTAGTCTAAAGACAGCAGCAAGAAAATGTTTGGTTTTAAAGGTCCAAGGTCTACCTTTGCCTGATCTGTCCTGCAGTTTGTTCAGTTTACCTACAGAGAAATGGAGAACACAATGACACAAACTCACAGTCTGAATGGAGATGCTGTGACAGTGATAGTGATGCAGCAAAGGATTATGAGCAATTTTACTAAAGTAGAGAACAAGTCAGTTTTGTGGTTGTATTTTTCAGGATGAAGAAATCTATATATTTGATATTGGTAAATATCGGCACATGTGGGTTCGTGGCCACAAGAGCAGTATTCATATTGGATATTGATATCAGCCCAAATTTCCATAGTGGTGCATAATTCCACAAAAGAAGTGCAATACATCAGATTTGAACGTTTGCATGAATTTATGAATAGCCTATACATCCTAGAACAATAAACTGATATGCAGGTTTACAACTATAATAGGAAGTGGAGAAATAAAAATGTCCAATTATAGAATGCAGGAATGACTTGACAAAGCAGAGAGCTCTCTCTGGTCTCCATCACACAACGTTTGAATAAACTGTGACATAATTATAATATATATGTGCTTATCACAGGGTGCAGCAATTATTTAAGATTTTGTGTCATAGAAACAACATTTCAAAAGTCTGAGTATGGACAAGTGGTGGTCATTCAGAGCTGAAAATAGCACATCCACCCAACTGATCTGCTTGACTTCCGCTTTATTTCGCATGTGAAAAGCTTCCGTCAGAGTCTTTTCATGTCATGTCATGCTTTCAAAGATCCAAAGTACTCCAAACTTTTCGGCCTTTATTTGTGTAGAGACGTTTTCCCCCGAACTACCAGGAAGGAGCGCCACTTTCACACGAAGCGTCTAGTCACGCTCTCATTTCAAACAGCCTCCCCAAATAAGAAACATGGCTAACAATGTGACGCTTGTCTGAATAGGCCACTCCATCCCAATGTCCAAGAGTCATGCGGAACCGAGCTCAGATCAAAGCCCAGCTGATGCCACTCGGAGAACCGGGCCACAAAAGAACAATAATTAAAAGCCACATGGATACCCAAGACATCCTCACATCAGACACATGCCCGCATACACAGACACACACACGTATCTTTTGTCAAGGAAATGGGGTGGGGAGGGAATAAATCCAGGCCGGTTTTGATGTCTGCCTGCAGAATACAGCAGCTCATCCACATCCTGACATGCAGGTACCTGCCTCATAATAAGCAGGTGATTCATTTCATCCATCTGACTGCAGTAAACACACACAGTCACTCTCACCCACCAAGCAGCACGTCGTTATTCTGGGTGGGGGTTTTGTGGGCCAAAGGTGAACTGTCAGAACCAGCAACAATACATTGGCGCTGTGTTTCCAGTTGTGCAGTTTAATGAGGCAGCATAGAGGAATATGCTTTGGTCGTATCAGTTCAGCCATTTTCTCCATTCATCAACAGCAGGCCTCATTGGCTCCATTTATTATGGAGTTATCATGTAGAACAAGACATTTTTTTTAATCCCACAAATTTGTGTTTAATTAATGTTCCTGTTTTTTCCCCTTGATGGAGTTTGCATTGGGTTGCAATTTTTAATGCTGTTTTAATGAAGGTGTGAGTGTGGGGGGAGGTGATTTATGGCCAAATTTGGAATAAAATGGGAAGAAAATTACATTTTGATATCACATGTGGATGTTTTCTGTCCTCACGCTGCAAAACCTGACCAAGGATTTTTGTTCTAGTTTCTAGTTCAAAATATATTCACTTGAAACAAGACAAAACTGCCTGACAAATACCTTTTCAGAAAGATACAAGAGATTGTTTTAAGTGAATAATTCCTTAAAATTGACAAAGAAATAAAACAAAAAAATACTAGTTCCACTGGCAGATTATGTCATTTATTTAGGTGGGTCTGGTTTCCTTGCAATGGCAGATTTAACTGTTTTTGCTCCATACAGATTTCCAATTATTGTTCAAGTATGACCTGCATTTCACTTTTTTTTTTTCATCATGACTATAAGACATGAAACAGAAAACATGTTGTAGTTTCTGAAAGGAACATTGTTTGATTTGAGCCAATCCATGGAAACTCTCATCTCCTGCTGGTCAGTTGGTGCATTTACTGAATAAATGCCAACAGGTTTGAATTTGGTTCAGGCTGAAACTTGGGCGACCCACTTTTAAAAAGTCTGGAATTTAAAAAAATAATGTGGATTAGCATGGAAAATAAACATTTAAATTAAAATACTACATACATTTTATAGATTAATCACACTATTTAAGAACTAAACAAAGTATCAATGAAATAAAGTTAGATATTTTAAATAATAATAATAATAATAATAATAATAATAATAATAATAATAATAATAATAATAATAATAATAATAATAATAATAATAATAATAATGTTAAAAATGAACAGTTAAAATGCATAGTCATTTGTTGTTTTGTGGGGGAAAAAATGGCTGCTAATAAGGAGACAACCATACAACAACAGCATCAAATCAAACATTCAAAATGTACACAGCTCCTTCCTCCTCCGTTGTTATATGAACATAAAGCAGGCATATAATTATGACCACCTCTAACATATTAGAAGCAATTCCTTAAAGCCCTACAAGCCGGACTGAGATCAGAGAAACTGTGCAAAAACAACTGTCAATCATTCAGGGAATACAACCATCAGCAACAAGCGGATCTCCATGAATGCCTTGAGCCACAGAAGCCTGGACCATGACCTTTTCATCAGACTCTGTTTTATTAAAGTGACTGAAATCTTCGTCTTTACGCTTTTTCCAGCTGCCAAGCTCATCCATTCTGAGGACAAACGCTTCACATGCGGCATGCTGGTCATAATGTTCTGCTTCCTCGTGTGCATGGACTGTTTGATATCAGTTCCAAATCACATGAAATCTTCATAAGAGCCACAGCATGAGCAGCTCAGAGCGGAGCAGGTTGGTTACTCTGGGCGCTTGTGCGTAAAAGCGCGCAGATCGCTGTGGATGAAGCGCGTTTTCCTTTAATGAGTGGGTGTGCTTCAAACCCAACAGCCACTGCTCTCCACTGGAGGAAGAAGTGTGTTTGTGTGTATGTCTGCGTGTGTGTGTGTTTAGGTAGGTGTGTGTGTGTGTGGGGGGGGGGGGTCAAAGCAGAAACAGAGGCTTCTTTGTACCTCTTGGGCGTCCACCTCCTCCTCACTGTCTGTGGGCTCCGGAGCCTTCACGAACCACCACTGGATCTCCAGATACACAGAAGCGGTTCCGCTCTGGAAGGCGCACGCCATTTCTATGTTTTGGCCCTCTTTAACCGTCATGTTGGAGGGCAGATCCGTAAAGCGACCTGCGGACCAGAAAATAAATAAATAAGTGAAAATAAATAAAGAGAGCGAGAAGACGGTTTATGACGAGTGGGGTGGGGTGGAGGTGGGGGGGATTTCAAGCGGGTGCATAGAAGCAGCGCCCATGAGCCAACTAAGAACTAAGGTAGATACCTCCCCTTCCCCCTCCCCCTCTTCCCACCTGCCCTCCCTCCACCAACTCAGATACTGACGAGACTTCGATGGGAAAAAGCCAGCATGGTTCAATTATTCAGACTCTTCATTGCGCACAGACTCCAATACATATTTTACCATAATAAGAGCTATTTTTCTCTTATTATCTCTTATTTATCTCTCTCTCTCTCTCTCTCTCTCTCTCTCTCTCTATATATATATATATATATATATATATATATATATATATATATATATATATATATATATATATATATATATATATATATATATATATAAAATAAAGTCAATTAAAGGAGGACAACTTGAATTGAATTTTGGGTGATTTTTTTTAGAATCTCTAACTGAATGAGTTGCGTTTTTATGTAATTGTGGTATTTTCAGGATTCCCTTTCTGCAAACAAACGTCCACGTGAAGCGCCGTTTAGTTCCCAGTGTGTCCGAACACCGCTGTGGGCAGACTGAGCTGCTTTGATCTGTTTCAAAGTGGGACCGAGTGGAGCTTTCAGCACCGCGGACAGCTCCACGCAGCAGGGCAGCTTTAAAACCAACAGCTCCGTGTTTCCCCAGCAGCGGCAGAGCGAACTGCGGAAACACGCTCCGGATCTCCCCAAACACAATATAAGTGTCTCATATAGAGGGAGAGAAAAGCACCAGTTGCTTATGTTGTAAAAAAGAAGACGATGAAGGAAAAAAAGACTAATTAAAAAAGACACAACCTTCATTTCTCTTCCCGTCTTCCCATTGCGCATTAGCATCGACTTAAAAACTGTCGTTTCGTCCGCAGTCCCCTTTGCGCTGCGCACTTTTAACACAGGGCAGCCCGTTAAAAAAAAGAAAAGAAAAAGGAAAAGCCCCGACATGACCAGCGTCTTACCTTCAAAGGAGAATCCGAACTGAACACAAAATCCGGCTAGGAAAACAAATCCAACAGTATCATGAGAGGTCCACATTATTTCAGCTGTGCAGAGGTTCGGTTCTTCACATCAGAGGTTTGATCAAGAGAGACGAAGAGGGGGAAAAGCCAGTAGCAGTCTGCGCTCCAGCGGATCAAGCGGTCACTGGAGGAGCGTGCTTAAACGCAGCTTTCCGCAGGGTGAACATGCTAGGAAACTCCAGCTTTCTCTACCTGCTCCGCGGATTCCTGTCTCACTCTGCGGGCTGATGCTGCCTGCTGCCTGGCTGTGCTCAAGTGTGTGGAGGAGCCCGGCTGCGGTCTTCTTCTGCGCTACCGGAGAGACGTCAGTCTTAGAGGATCACTGTGGCATCCACACAAACGCGCGCACACACCCCCACCTCAGAGAATGTGCTCCACATGCGGCCCCATTCCCACACACTGACCGTAAGGATTCATGGAGGAGGACAGATGAACAGACAGAAGCTGCTGCGCCTTCAGAGGCTTCAATATGAGGGAATTTTATTTTGAAAATCCCTCCACCAACCCCCAACTGTTGTTCACGGTTTATTTCTCCCGTTTTTCAGAGCAGGTGAAGTTGGGACTGGGTGCATGACGGGCACTGCTGGTTCCGGGGGATCCGCTCAAAACTCTTGCTTGAATAGTGGAATGTCTCCCACTTGGACCCCCCAATCAAAACCCAAAACAGAAGCCACACCCATTACAGGTAGTAAAAGTTTCAATGGTTTATTTTGTGTTCTGTGCAGAGGCGATCCAGGCAGGAATGGGGCGAGGGGCAGTTCCCCAATCAGGGACCCCGATCCACCACACCAACCAAACGCCATTCTGCCAAGATAAACAGATTTATTAGCAAATTGATGTCAAAACACCTCTGTTAGTTCTGATTTTTATTTATTTATTTTGTGTTAAAGTATTTTCCATTTCCACAATTACTTTCTCTGGATTTTTTCCTCTTACTTTTTAACAGTTGCTGTGACACATAACTGTGGTATTGTTTTAAGAACTGGGAGCTGCTAATTTTTATATTTACAGCTGAAGTAGAAACTGAACTTTGACCCCAAATCTAAGAGGAACTGAAAATGAGGTTTCATGGATGAAGAGCAGGACCAAAGAGAGAAAAGGAGGAAGTTCAAACTGTCGCTTCCATCCTCTCCTCCAGCATCTGTCTGCCTGACCAAACAGCCAGGCAGAGATTTACTGAAGAGCAGCAAAAGCAGATGAGGTGGATTAGCATGTTTACCAACAACTGATGATGTCATCCAGGACATGTTGCTGTGGAATATCATTTCTGCTGCCTGGAAATGGATCTGTGAGCATTTTTTTGGAGTCAAGAGACTGGAAGCTTCGTCAGATTTGTTGCAATACTGACTGCTACTGGAGATCCTTCCAGCTCACAGTTTCACCAGTCAGTTAGAAAACAGGTGGATGATCTGAGTTATGACAACATTCATTTTCCCTTTGCGATGAATAAAGTGTTTTGGGAGTGAATTGGACTGAAATGACGTTGTGCTTCATTAATTAAATATCAGCTGTTCCTTCCTCCATCAGAATATCTAAATTCCAACTCTCTGAGGTGACCTTGAATCATCCACTCGCAGGTGAAGCTCAGAATAGAGGAGAGTAATATTTTTGTTTTGACGTCTTCTAAGTCACAGTGTGGCATTAATTTGTCTGGGTTTATTAGTTTCATTTGGAAGGTATAACCCAGGTTCATGAATGATGTCATCTTCTGGCCTCCACCTATGTTATTAATAACTATAACAGCTGAACAGAAGGGTTGAATCCAAAGAATAACTGCCATCCATGATCCATCTGTAGTGTGTTGTATGTTTTTGTTTGTTTCTTTTGTATGTCTAAGCTGTTAAATCCAATCATATGTTAAAAAAATATCCTCCTTAATCAAAGAAACATGCAACCTTCTCACAGTTGTGTCAAAGTTAGAAAAGTTCTTCAATGAAAGAATTAACTATTGAAGAAAAAAATGAAGTGATTAATATAAATAAGAATTCACAGGCAGTGAATTAATGCAAACAGAAATCATTGGAAGTGATTAAAATGAATGAAACAATTTAAAAAATTGAGGATTTTGTTAATCATAAATATTCTGCAGTTATGGTTCAAATATTGAAACATTGTAAAGCAATAACACGGATAGCAAACATTGATATGCACAGCTATTATCTTGCTTGAATAGTGATGAAGAGTCGAATGACACATGTGAGGCTTTACAAAATTGTGACACATTTAAACATAATAATTCATACATGCTTTACTTTTGAACACCAGCCTGTATTAAAACATTTATCTTATTCTCTGTAAACCAGGCAAGTAAAGTGGAAGAGAAATGAAATCTGGTTTTCAATGTCATAAACAGATACAAACTGAAAAGTTACAATCTGTAAAGTTCTGAGAGGTTTGTTAGAGAATATTAATGAACAAACAGCATCATGAAGACCAAGGCAAACAACTTTTTGGCCCAGCCTGTGATAATAAAACAGTACAAATGGGATAAGATGAGACATGTAGTTGATGCAGACAACTTAAAATACTATCTAATCTAATCTAATCTAATCTAATCTAATCTAATCTAATCTAATCTAATCTAATTCAGTCTTAATGGCATTTGTTCCTGCTAATGATGTTAGCAGGAACATCATTAGCTATCATCTCATTATCTTCTGTAACAACATTAGCTACTATTAGCTCTGGCTAATAGTGTAGATAAAAATATTTACTTCTACTAATAGTATTAGCTTCTGATAGTGCCATTAGCTTTGGCTAATAGGGTGAACTCCTGCTAATGTTGTTAGGTCTAGCTAATAGTGTAGCTCTAGCTAATGATGTTAGCTCTAGCTAATAGTATAGCTCTAGCTAATGATGTTAGCTCCAGCTAATGGTGTAGCTCTAGCTATTGGCGTTTGATCCTGCTAGTGGTGCTGGCTCTATCTAGCAAGTAGTATAACTCTAGCTAACTCTAGGTGTGATGAACATGAAGTGTCATGATGACAGTCCTCACTTAAAGTAGCCTCTGTTCAGTTTATTTCACAAGCTTATTTGTTGTGATTATTTTTTATCAGAATGCTTGAGTCAGTTTGGTTGGCCAACATTTTCCTAAATGATTCTGCTATTTGGCTGAGAGAACCAATTGGGTTTTTACACAACAGCATATTTAAAAGAGACATGCACAGAGAATGTGTTAATAACTGCTAAACACATCATGTTCTGTTTTCTCCTTGTATATAATTCAGATAAAAGCAGAGGACTGAATCCCTCTCCAGTTAAAGCACTGTAATTCTCTCAAATGAGAGAACCTCTGTATTTAGCGAGGGTGTGTCCAATTTTTCTGTGCCTTTGAGGTCAGAAAGGTTATAAAACTAGTTTGTAGCAGCAGACAGGAGCAATCTGTGATGGAAGCAGGGTGGAGGTGGGGTGGAGATTGACCAGCGACCCGACAAGAGCAGGGCAGGCACAGCTCGTCCTGAGTCATTAGGCCAGCAGAGACCCTGCTGGAATGTTATTAGTCTCTGGGGCAGACAGGGAACACTCTGCCCTTTGTTGCGACAGACACAAATTCTGTCAATCTTAAAATTTGCTCTTAATTGAACTGGAGCCTAATCAGGAATCCTCCTCTCTCTGGTCCACAGTTAGCTCAGTTCTTCAGCCTGATGTTTTCACATGAAGGCTGGATAATCTGTGTCTCCCTGGGTATTAATGTACGCTCAGGAATTGAAGCTACAAACTGATTTGATTACCTGTGAAGCCCAATAATTTCTCTCATTATTAAAAGAATGGCATGACCCATGAACAGGGAAGTACTCTGATAGACTGTATTTAATACAACCTGGAAGCTTAACAAAGCTTTGAATACAATCTTCTTCTTCAAGTGGACAACATTAGTCAGAACAACCCAATAGATCCTTCTAAAATGTGTCACATCTTTGGCTTATTCAGAGCATTTCCAACACATTGCCACTCCCGACTCATCATATATTGACGCTTGGGCAGTCACATGTTGATGCACCGGGTACCCATTCGCGTCAATAATTGACGAGAAGGGTTCTCTCATTGCTCTATCGCAATGAGAGTACAGCCACTTACAAAAAGGATGGACAACAAAGTCGATTCTGTTTAGCTATCTTCTAAAACTGATCTGATTGGACGCTGAAAAAACTTTTTTGTGTTCAAGTTGTGCTAAAAAGAGTTAGCTTATGAGTGTAGCTTTCTTGCCTAAAATTGCATCTCAATACTAAACATGAAACAGCATAATTGACGTCTGTGATTCTCATGGTAGAAAAATATTTTACACCAATGGTTGCTAAATAACAGATTAAAAACAATAAATGTTTCTGTTGTTAAGGTCAATTGTCTAACTATCCAATAATTTAGCAGCAAACAGAGTTTTTGAATCACAAATAGTCCTTTATTACTTTATATATATATATATTTTTTTACTACACTGGGAATAATTAATTTCAGACCTCGTAATTAATTTGATTAATACTTTTAATTGAATCCCACCACTAATAAAATAATTTAAATTAAAAAGATGCTAAGTTAAACATTTGTTCATAAAAAGTGTTACTGTTAGCCATGACTGTTTATTGTGATTGCTCAAATTACACTTCAGGCAATCCCTGAATTTTACATAAGCTGATTAAATAGGCTGAATTTATTTGGCGTCTCAAAGAGCTTTTTGTCAATTCGACATTCACAAACACACACACCAATGCAGAGATTATTAGGCATTGTGGGGTTAAGTGCCTTGCCCATAGGCACAGTGACTTGTGACAGGAGGATGCTGGATTCAAACCCACAACTTTGGGATTGCAAAACAACTGCTCCACACTGATGTACAATCAGTGTGTACATCATCTTCAGGAAAAAAGAGATTTCCGATGTGACAGACTTTAGAGAAAGTGTTTCTGTTTCAGTGGCAGCTCTGAGACTAACAAATGCCATGCCATTTTCCTCTCAAAGTCATCTGTTTTAAGAGTCACATAATCTTCACAATAAACCTTCAGGAAAATTCCAGTTGACCCGATTTTTATCCTCCAAGAAATAAATGCACTAGAGCTTAAGTATGCCACTTCACTTCATGTCCCACTTTCCCTAAATGCAGCCTTGCCAGCACATGCCCCATTCAGTATAACATAGGTATGTTTACTACGGATGCTGTTTTGTTTCTGCTGTTATATATATACAATACAATTCCTAGCTTCATGTCCGGATTGAAAGAAAAAAGAACAACAAGCCTTTTTGAAAATGGAACAGAATTTACAATTAGCTTTAAAACATGTTTCACGTGAACAAAAGGAGTCCTGGATCATGACTAACTTTAAATAAAATATTGAAACATGAATCCAGAGTAAATTCCAAACCTCTCTTAGAGCCTTAGACCTCTTAGAGCAGGTTATAATAGAGGAACAAATGTGCAATTTCCCTAAAAGACAAAAAAAAAA